TGTGTGTGTGTGTGTGTGTGTGTGTGTGTGTGTGTGTGTGTGTGTGTTCAGGTCTCAACAAACCCCAGAAGCAGGCCATGAAGAAGGTGTTGTTATCTAAAGACTACACACTGATTGTTGGCATGCCAGGGACGGGCAAAACCACAACCATCTGCACCCTGGTAAACTCCTAACCATGCTCTAAAAACCTCACCTGAACCGTAAATGGACATTATCTACTCCCAAGTGAGACCAGAACTCTAACCCTCTCTTCTCCACCATTCTCTCTTTCCTTCTTGCTCTTTGTCTCTTCCTCACTTTTTCTCTCAGGTTCGCATCCTTCACGCATGTGGGTTCAGTGTGTTGCTGACCAGCTACACCCACTCTGCTGTTGATAACATCCTGCTGAAGCTAAAGCGCTTCCGGGTTGGCTTTCTGCGTCTTGGACAGGGGCAGAAGGTGCAGTATGGTTTGATTTTATTCAATGTGTTCAGTACAGCATAGAAAATAAGCATTCACTTCCCACATTTTGTTATTTTAAACTGTCACTTTGTAGATATATTTGCTGTTTAAAAAAAGGTTATTCCATTCTCTCGTGTGGTAGTTTGCATTAAAGCACAAATCACTAATAAATGTTATTGAAGTAATATTGAAGTAATACAAAATATAAACATTTGGGGATGGTTTGATCTGTATTTTTGAAATATTCAAGAGTTCAACAAATTAGAACCTCTAATGTTTAAATCTCTTGTTTTTTCCCCTCTGACTTCTCTGATTTCTCTCTTTTCTGCTGACCTCTCCAGGTTCATCCAGACATCCTGCCTTACACAGAGGAGAGTGCGAGAAAGAAGGGAGTTCACACTCTGTCAGAGTTAGAGCAGCTTTATAACAAGGAGGTAAGGAGTTAGTTTGTGGAATATCATAATTGCAACTACTTTGACTGATTTATAGACACTGAAATCAGCATTTCTTTTAAATATTTAACATCTAATCTCTATTTTTTTTCTGCATCAAGACATGCCACTTGTTGATATTGTAATTTAATAAATGTACAAATGTTGTGAACATCTTACCATTCTAAACTGACTTTCTCTCTCTCTCTCTCTCTGTCTCTGTCTAGCTGGTAGTGGCAACCACCTGTATGGGCATCAAGCATCCCATTTTCACACGTCGCCGGTTTGATTTCTGCATCGTAGACGAAGCTTCACAGATCAGCCAGCCTATCTGTTTGGGACCCCTGTTCTATGCCAAGAGATTTGTCCTGGTGGGAGATCACCAACAGCTGCCACCAATAGTACAAAATAAGGAGGCGAGGTAAAGTGTGTATGTGTAGATTAGATATATGTTGTTAAATTGATCAAATACAAACTAGCGTGCTAAAGTAACACTTCACCCCTAAAATGACCATCTGCATATCGATTATTCTATTATAAAAAGCGGACTAGATCTTTGACGATTTGAAATAAATTGAGGCCAGGTTTAACAACAGCAAAACATCCACTTACAAACTCTCACACAACTTTTTCAGTATGCAAAGACTCGCAGCGCACCTACAAAAGCATGAGACAGTAGTGCCAATAGTGTTTAGGGAAAAATGCACGTTTGGAAAGTACTGAGCGTACAACAGGATAAACGATACCTGGATTATCCTGCGTGAGTTGTGTGAGAGTTTCTGAAAAGAAGTTTTCATATAGTTTTTCTGTTAAACCTGGCCTCCATTTACTTGAGTTCATGAAGGATTTTCACTTTTGGATTCTCCGTTCATGGTTGAGGCATGCGAGGAAAAACTAAGTTTTCCTCCAGAATTCAAGGAAACGTGAGTAAGTCATTGATATACAAATGGTCATGATAACGGTGAAGTATTCCTTTTGTACTTTTTTGTAGTTATTTGTCTTCGTGAGGGTAAAACATGTAGGAAGCGCAGGGTAAATTTGGTAATTAATGCAAAGTTAGAATAATGTCAATAGAAATATCGGTTCCCAATTTCTTTATTCTTTTTCTTCTAGGTCACTTGGGATGGACGAAAGTCTTTTTAAGCGACTAGAGCTCCACAGTGAAGCAGTGGTCCAACTCAATGTACAGTACCGGATGAATAGGTACACCAACATACACAGACAACACTATATGCTTCAGTCATATTCTTTTGTTTATCATGAGCTCATCCATTAGACCATTCAAATGGCAATTGAACTCTTATCTACGAGGACACACTCCATAATAAACAGTGTGTGCTCTGTGTTTTTAGGCAGATAATGTCTCTCAGTAACTCCCTGATGTATGAGGGCCGGCTGGAGTGTGGATCAGAGAGGACAGCCACGGCCCTGCTCAGCCTGCCCTTCCTGCTCTCTGTCCAGTCGGAGCTTAGTTCCTACTCCAAGTCTCATCCGCAGCACGACCTGGCTTGGATACATGCCACATTGTTGCCCAGCAGCCCTGTCTGCTTCCTAGACTGCTCCATGGTTGGTTGAATGTTTTACGAGCCACCTTTTTACCCGTTATTAGCCAAGAGGATCGATGCATATTTTATTAGGTCTGCCTTCTAGTGAAAGGTCAAGGAATTAAGTCGGCTGCCTCAACAGTCGAAGAAAGTTATTTATGCGAAATAAGATTGTCCTGAGTAAGACAAAGGAGGTGTGCTGGTCTACATCTTGTTTTTCTCCTTTAGGTGCCAGCAGTGGAGTCTGTGGAGAAGGGAGGCGTTAGCAATCGCACCGAAGCTGCTCTCATACACAAGTTGCTTTCACTGCTGATAAAGGTGCATCATTTGCATGATTTATGCTCAAGTATTTATGGCATAAAAACAGTGGGTTTTTAAAGTCCTGGCTTAATTCTTGGGGTCATGAAGTGTTCTTAATACACGGGAGGGGGGGGGGATAGAGAAATAGTAGCTATTTATCATACTAACCCCTACTTATTTTACTTTCTTCAGGCAGGGTGTAAGCCCAGTGATATAGGTGTTATCGCCCCCTACAGGCAGCAGTTAAAGAGTATCTCTGCTCTGCTGCAGTCCTCTGCTTTCACCGGTGTGGAGGTGAATACAGTGGATAAATACCAAGGACGGGACAAAAGTCTGATCATCTTTTCTTTTGTCAGGAGCACTGTAGAGGAAGTAAACGTAAGTGTTTCTCTTCCCATCGTCCTTTTTTAACTCCTCTTCTCCTCTCTCTGCATTAGTGAACAAGCAAATAAACAAGTGAGTGGAAAACTGACCTGATTCTCTGCTGCTTCTCCTTTCATAGTTAGGAGAGCTGTTGAAGGACTGGCGTCGCCTGAATGTAGCCATTACCAGGGCTAAACACAAGCTGCTGATGGTGGGGTCCGCCACGACGCTACGACGCTACGCACCTGTGGAGAAACTGCTCAACCATCTGCAGCAAGAGGACATGATATCCTTTAATTACAAAATAATCTTTAATGGGAGTACTGTCAGCATTAAGTCAGTTATTGCAAAATGCGTTACTGAACTGGTTACTGCAAAAGTCTTTTTTTCAGTTCTATACAGCAGAATTAAGCTTCACATGTTACGGAAATTTAAAGTGTGCTGAACAGCAAGTCCCCAGTGTTTCCAAAGAATGGTGGCTGAGACTACGAGACTGCTTCTAAGCAGTTTTTAGTGATTTAACCTTTGTTCTTGTTACATGTCGTCTTTGTAGACGCAGAATACATAGAGACATTTGTTTTTCCTGAACCCTTACTTCACATTATCCAGCTCCCCCCAGCTGCCCACAAGGCCTTACCAAGCATGCCCCTGTGATGGAAGTCTATGGAGCCATGGTGGTATTTCAGGTCACCTCATCAGGGCAGAGATTTTATGCCAATCTTGAGGCCAAAGATGCAAGTCTTAATGTTGATCAATTATAAATACAACACATTTAATACACAGTTTTAAAAGTATCAATAGTTGATGTCTATGCGGTGAAACAAGGTACTGGACACTGAACAGCTAAAATATTTGCACACAAAATTGTACTGTATCTTTAATTGGCTGAACTGTCACTGGTGAATTATGGTACTGTCCATCAAACATCAACTAGGAATAAACTAAACTATGGTACTTTTGATCAAATACCTCTATCGATACACTGACAATATTCACTGTTGGTACTTTCTCTAAGCGTTTACACACAACACAGAAAGTCACTCATAATGTGAATATGGAGACCAAACCTTTTATAGTTCATGTCACTCAGCTACAACAGTCAGATATGCTTAGGAAGGTCTATCAGTCCACTAAAACACAGTTCTAAGGACAAAATCGGTGCACTGAAAAGTGAAGCTACATCACAATATTTCAATAAACTTTGATTTAGTTTTAAAGGACCTAATCAATATCTTTTGTTCCAGCTTGAACCTCAAGAACATGTATGAACCATGAGGTGATTGCTGTAGGGTGTAGTTTATTGTTTAGTGGTTCAATTGGACTTCATACATACTTGAAATATATGTTGATGCAATATAGAAATATTGCATCAACATTACTCTGTTTTAATCTGTGAATGGACCACACCAGCCTACAACAGTACAGAAATGAAACAACAAACTGGTATATAAATAGTTTCTCTTTATTCCTCAGTTAACAACATTATACTGTTGGTAACAGACAAAGCTATAGCAAAAGCAAGTTTTTGATTCACTTCCTTTTGCGTACAACAATATACGAGAAAATCTAAAGCTGTACGGAGACGGGATGATAAAGGAAGCTACCTGGTATGATAACCAGTTAAAACTCAAGGAATATGTAGGAAACTACAAGTTAGGAGGAAATATATTCTGCTAAAATGTAATTTAATGCTGATCTGTGATAATTTAACTGGTGATTATTCTTTTAATTATTAGAGCATGCTTGAAAACCGACAACCTCTGATTTTACATGTTTTGTGTATGTATTTTGTTAATACTGAGATTTTTGCTTTTGCGTTATGAGAATAAATACAAATACTATCAAAGTGTGAGGTGTATTTTTACATCCTGTTGTGTGTTGTCATGCTTAGTCATGTTTCATTATTAGATTGACCAGTCTGGACAATAACGCTTTGTTTAAATTGACTCATTTTTATTAAATTTTTATTTAAATCATATGGTACAACGCCTGTTTGTGGGTACATAATGACTGTCCCATCATCCCCAACCCTCCTAGCGTGCATGTGGCTGTGGCTATAGTGTGATTGTTCCCTGCAGCACAGTGACGGTCTGTCCAGATATATTGATTCTTCCGTCATCTCTCACTTCTAGTTCCAGCTCCCCGCCTCGACTGGAGCACTGGTAAGCTACACAAACACAGAGGGGATAAAACGAGCGTCAGTATCTGTTTATAGGGAGAAACAATGCCTGATATCAAGTTAATCACACAAAAAGACTTTGCCTCTGGCTTAGTTTAATTGCATTGGAATTAGAGAAATTGCTAATCAGATTAATCTGACGGAATTAATAATAAAAAAGTAAAACAATGCGCACCAACACAGAGAGGCAGCCATCTGCGGAACCATCTTATCTGGTGATAAGTTTATGTTGATTTTATATGATAATGTGATGTACTTTTAAAGAACTTTTATATTCTGTATATTGATTAGTTCGGAGCCTATTGGCACGATGAATATCTTCCCCTAGGCTACGATTTTACAACACCAACACTTCTGTAAAACTTATATAGTATAATTATAATGTAACAACATACTATTACTGTATGAATATATTAAACACTGTCAACTTTCATTTTGCTGATGTTTTGATCATCTTAGCCTCTTATGTATTTACAGAATGTAGTCTGAATCATTCATTGCAATATGTAACCTGATTCTCATGTTTTACTGCTAACAGATCTCTTATAGGACTGCCCACTGACATGGCTTTAAAGTTATCATTGAAAATGTTGCTCTCGAAACATCTTAAAATGCACATTTTTAGATCAAGGAAATCAGAAATTTTCTGAAGGGGGTGGGACAAAACCCCTAACAGACAGAACGCTCATTTTTTGAACCTCTATTTTTCTAAAAACCCTGTTTATGGCCATGGTTGGACCTGTGTTGATACATTGTTTTGAAGCTTTAATTTCCAAGTTAAGAACCACTAATTTAAGATGACAATGATGAAGTATTATTTTGATAAAATGCGCTATATGCACCAAGTCTGCAATGAAATCCACACAGTTTATAAAGGCTTTTATTTTGAAGGTTACCCACAAAGTTGCAGCGAACCCGGATGTTCTTCCATTAACAACATGGCGCCTAACGTTAGTAGAAACAGCAGAGTATCTTTGTTGTGTTGATAAAGTATCAGTTAGCTCCATCAGTACTGGTAGACCAGAGTCTCTGTATGGACTTTTAGCTGTTCACCCTTTTTCTGGATGTTTTTCCTCTGACTCATCTCCCGGTAGCCAACAAAGCTATTGAAGTTAGCTTAGCATGCAAGCATGCTGTGTAAGTTAGCAACACAGCGCTAGTCAGAGTTTAATGGAGAGTAAACGGTGTTTCTGACGGAGTTTGTGTGGAGAAAACGTTTCTGTGGTTTAGTGAAAATGTCTCGAGTCCAAATGCTGAGATCTTTGGTCAACCAGCGACTAACTGCGGCTGCTGAAGAGATATTTGGTCTGTTTGAAAGAACGATCGCAGAGTACGAGGAGGAACTCTCTGGTTCAAAAGAGGAGAACGAGCGACAACGGAAACTACTGTACGCTGTTTTGAACCCTGTAGTCTGGATACAAAGAGCAGGTTGGTTCACTTTGTTTCTTCTCTCAGTTATCAAATACTGTTTATGCTACGGCTGCTAACTTTATAGTTTAGTTTGGAGTGAGATTCGGTTGCAATGAATCTTTTTCTTCTGATCTTCTTCTGATCCGTTCTCTCAACGTTATGACAAAATATTTCAGTTTGTTCTCTTTGATAACACCACATGGATTTAGCAGCTTGTTGAATTCTAAAATGGTTCATATGTTCATGGTCACATACGAGTTTATTATATTATTATATTATCTGGTTCCATTGATAACATCCAGCTATTATCACAACACATATACACAATCATCACAGAAAACTGCTCCCTAAAATATGATCATAAATCAACAAACATCTATCAAACAATTACAAGCACACTATCTAAGAGCAACAAATAATCGTGTGTACGAGTGTGTGTGTGGGGGGTTCTACCTTGACCTATAGGTTCCTGAGAGCAGTCTCTAGACGAAGTTTATTAGTTCAGATTGTGTCATTGTTGTCACATTTCAGTTTCATCATCTTTACACGGATGTTCTCTACAGCTCACTACCATGGTGGAGTGCTATTGGTTCAGAAACGGAGCGCACCTATGATGCACGTCCACGGTAACGTTGTGGCTGCTTCTGAATGTTGTATCCACTGTTTCTACGGTGGCACGTTTAAGTACATTAGTCAACTATAACTGCCCACAGTTGACTACTTTGCCATGTGAGTATTGATGAGCTCATTGAGTCGTTATCTGTTTTGTAACTGTGCACAGGGAGTGTAAGAGGGAATGATGGCAGGAAAACAAAGTGTATGTACAGGAGACTTTGCTCAATACTAACATTTCTTTGTAACGTCTCTGTGTGTGTTTTCTGTTTTCCTGCAGACGTCCAGCAGGTGTTGGTGGTTAAAGAAGAGGTTCCCCCTGAGCAGCAGGAGAGGAGCTCCAGTCTGGACCAGAAGGACCCAGAGCCTCCACACATTAAAGAGGAACAGGAGAAACTCTGGACCAGTCAGGAGGGAGAGCAGCTTCAAGGACTGGAGGAGGCTGATGTCAAGTTCTCATTCACTCCTGTGAAGAGTGAAGATGATGAAGAGGAAGATCAGTCCTCACAGCTTCATGAAAGACAAACTGAACAGATGGAGACAAAAGCTGATGGAGAGGACTGTGTAGGACCAGAACCAGACAGGAACTTGGATTCAGATAGACATCAAGGACCAGATACTGATGGAGACTCTTCTGACAGTGATGATTGGAAGGGGACCAGAGAACCTCAGTCAGGTTTAAACTCTTTGAAACCTGATGAAGTTTCTGTCCGGGATTCAAGATGTAATTCTGGTGAGAAACATTTTAGATCCTCTGAGTGTGGGAAAAGAACTGGCACGAGTGGAGATCTGAAGAAACGCATGAGAATCCACACAGGAGAGAAACCTTTGAGCTGCTCAGTCTGTAAGAAGTCTTTTAGCAGTTGTACAACTTTACAGACACACATGCTAATCCACACAGGAGAGAAACCTTTCAGCTGCTCAGCCTGTAAGAAGTCTTTTAGCAAGCGTACAACTTTACAGACACACATGCTAATCCACACAGGAGAGAAACTTTTGAGCTGCTCAGCCTGTAAGAAGTCTTTTAGCAAGCGAACAACTTTACAGACACACATGCTAATCCACACAGGAGAGAAACTTTTGAGCTGCTCAGTCTGTAAGAAATCTTTTAGCAAGCGTACAACTTTACAGACACACATGAGAATCCACACAGGAGAGAAACCTTTCAGCTGCTCAGTCTGTAAGAAGTCTTTTAGCAGTCGTACATCTTTACAGACACACATGAGAATCCACACAGGAGAGAAACCTTTCAGCTGCTCAGCCTGTAAGAAGTCTTTTAACCAGTTGCCAAATTTACAGACACACATGAGAATCCACACAGGAGAGAAACCTTTCAGCTGCTCACTCTGTAAGAAGTCTTTTCGCAATCGTTCAACTTTACAGACACACATGATAATCCACACAGGAGAGAAACCTTTCAGTTGCTCAATTTGTGATGAACGATTTCGGCACAGGTCAATTCTGAAGTTACACATGATTACTCATACAAGTGACAACCGTCTTTAGTGGTTCTGTTTGTATACAAAAGGTAAATCTGACACGGCACATAACACAGGGGAAGAACTCTGGTGCTTTTTATCCTATCTTTATTCAAAAGCATGTTTTAATTTGAGTGTTGCTTATTGATTCCGCGTTTAGATTTTGAGTTGTTTCCCTCTAACCCTGTCCTCACACACAATTAGCCCCCGCTTGCGATTAGTGACACAATAAACCTTGATCGCTCTGAGAGATCCATACTTTGTTTAAGGTGATGCCTCCTCAGGTTGGCAGGGAGCTTAGTACTGTTAGTTTTAACAAAGGTTGGGTAATATTGTTAAGATACTTTTTGTAATCTCCTGTCATAAGTTTGTGACGAAAGCATTAAAGTGACGAACACATTTATTGCACAGTGTTCATTTGATGATTTTTAAGTGATTTTTCATAAATTGATCAATGTATAATCTTACATACTCTTGAGATTAGAATTGTTTAAGATAAGTAATTGAAGTAACCTTGGATTGATGCAAAAAATGTAAATCATTTAAAGAAATATCCGGACTGACGTTTCACTCAGGTGCTGGACAGGAAGGACAAGAAACAAGTGTTAACTGAAAGAAACATGTCAAAATTGTAAGAGTACGTTGATCTTGTGGTAGAATTAACTTTTGACAATTTGTCTTTTCTTAACTTTTTGAGTCATCCATTTTTCTAACCGTTAACCTACTTTTTATTGTAAGAAACAAATAAAACTGGTTTGTATTTTGTACACTCCAACCAAAGTCCAGTGTCGCTCATCTCTGAGGCTGCCCTAAAGGTAAAATGGCATATCATACTATGACTTTTTTACATTTTCATTGCATACTACAATTTGTCGATTTGGATGACATTCCTATGGCATAATATACTATGACTTTTTAATGACACTTATTTTTTAGGAAATACTATACCTGACCTTTTTAAAGACATTTCTATGACATATACTATGATACATTAATGGCTGCTATACTAAGACTTCTTTTATGACATTTTGAATGGCATAATATACTATGAATATTTCATGACAGACACACTATACCATTTTAATGACATGCTATACAATGACTTTTGCATGACTATTATAGCGAAGTATGACCTTTGGACCGTTTGTGTTATGAAATACTATACTATGACTTTTTAGGATTTTTTCATGGCATACTAGACTGATTTTTTTATGACACAGACTAACATTTTTATGGCAAACTATACTCTACATATTTTATGGAATACTATATTATGACTTTAATTATATACTATACCATGACTTTTTTTTTGGCATGCTATACAATGACTTGTGTGAAATTATGGAAGAATTATTTCCAAAAGCTTTATAAAATACTATACTATTTATTTAATTATTGCTTTTATTTTAATGTATTCCCAACCGTGATACAAATACCTCTTCAAAAATGATTTCAGAGTTGGGAGACAAAAAGAGAATTAAATATAAAATTTATTTTGCAAAATGTACAACAGCTGCATAAGTTACAGTATCTTACAGCTCAAATATAGACTTTATTTTACGTCCACTCTTTAAGAGTGGAATATAATATTAAACTTAGTTTTAAATTCTGTAATGAACTGTGAAAACATTCATAAAAAACTCACTGGCTCAACATTTATCAAACTTTTCAAACCAAGAAAGCTGATCTGAAATGCAGGAAGGTCACACGTTCTGCTAAAAATAAGTTTAAATCAGAATAAACCAAGATGTAATCTTTTTCAATCAGAATTTCTAACCTAGAGACACTTGTAATGTTTTGACGTAGCTTTTCACAGCTCCACCTTCCTAAAGAGCATCATTCACCTGAACGCAGAATCATCAACTGATTAGATTCAAAGTGACCGTGCTCGGTCTCGACAGTGCCACAAAATTATTCTTTTCTCCTTCATCAAATCCCACAGCAGTGAGTCTGTGTCCCATGAAGTTCTGTCTCATCTGCACTGAGAACATATCCTGCCAACAGTGACATGTGAAACAAATGTAAGCGTGTTCCCTTATGGTCATAAAAACTAAAACTCATACAGTTACCTCCATTTAAATGCCATTCAAAACTCTGGAAACAATAATCTGATTCCTCTTAATAAAAATCACTGGACAAAATGTACTTTTGTGTGTGAATCCTGAAAAACTATATTACAATATCTATTGTATTAAAATATAAGATAAACAAGAAATCTCCTCTATGACCAGTTAAATGTTCAGCACCTACATCTTAATATTTTAAATTTTGTTCTTCGTATGCTTTAAGGAATGGTGTAATAATAGCGCTCGTTAAGGTCATATGTTCTGTTCTCTAGTCTGAATTAAAGTTTCAGTACAATAATATAATATAATAATAACCCCACGATAAAAAGAACCACAGTTACAAAACAAGTGACCGACTTCAGATCAGCTCCTTTGCTCAGAAAAAGCAATCGAGTAAATGTGGCCTGAATAGACGCGAGACAAACGTCGAGATGGATCGTAAAAGTGCGATGACATCATCAGTAAGAGAATCGCAGCCCTCCGCTCCGCGAGCCTCCGCCTCCTCCAGAGTTACCGTAGTAACCACCACCGCCGCCATGACCTGTGATGGTTTTAAAAAGATAGGTCAGCGTAAAGAGGAGGAAGTCATTTCTCAGAAAAAGAACAAACACCCAACTTGTATTTATACTTTATTTAACATAATTGTGAACGGGAACTCACTCATTTCCGCTGCTCCGCTGGTTGTTGAGTTAAGAAACAGCTCAATGTACCGATGCTCTGTGGAGAAAACATCAAGCCATCATTCACATCGAAGAACTCGTGTTTCTTCTGCTGTTGACCTTACATTTACCTGCTTCATTTCCTAGTTTAATTACAATCTGATCAAATAGTGTCATAACAAAATACCAGGATCATATTTAATCTTAATAGGCTTTAAAAATGAACCTTTGCAAAACTCAGAGTCAACCATATTAAACCCTGTTGAGCTTGTTCATTTGTCTGTAGATATAACTGATCCACTCTGCTCGTGTGACAAAGTGGTGTCACACGAACCAACATAAGAACCAACCAGTTGAAGAGTAAGAAGGGAGGACATACGCATGTGGTTCTTGTCTTTGGACATGGCTGCTACAGCGTCTTCATGGGAGCGAAACTCCACGTCTGCTTCTCCAGTCGACTTTCCGTTAGTAGCCACATCAATGTGGACCCTCAGTGGACTCAAAGGAGAGAAGAACTACAAGAACAAAGAAACACATTCACTACCAATATGATTATCATTATTAGTCACACTTCTATTTCTGCTACTGTTACTGCTTTTATTATTTCTATTTTCTATATTATATCCAAATTTGTGATATTGGGCTATACAAATCAATTGAATTGAATATATTTATATGTTTGTAAAGACAACAGTATTATACGGTATGAACACGACATCTATAGAGAACAGCCACAGAGACATTGTGGATCTAAATTATGAGCCAGTCTTGAATCTGGCTCCACAGACACATTTTTGAGTGTTGACCAAGTTAAATTAATACCCGTTTTACAATCATACAATCTGCAGTGTGTAAGTATGATGGAAAACCAATAGAAACCTATATAAGTGTAGAACTTCTCAAGACAAACTAGACAAAAAATACAAAAACTTTTATAACATCACTGCCTACAACAATATTTACATTTGTAAGTTAAATTTAATACCTTCTATGATCTTGTTTTGGAGGAAACTGAATTCATTGTTTTTACAAAATTTCAAAACCTGCTGATGCTTATTTCAAGAGAAATAACTAAAGTAACTGGTCTTAGTGAGTGCACGTGATCTTACTTTGGCGATGTCTCCCTCTGTGGCACGGAAAGGTAAACCCCTCATGTGGACAAAATGTCCGCCGTGGAAGCCGGAGCAAACATCACTTTGACCACCGTAGCCGTGGGCTCCCATCCCTGAGCCAAAACACACAAACACACCCATAGATTACCAATGAAACCTTTAGTAATGGTGGAGAGAGAAGCAAGTTGATACACGACAACATTAATGACATAAAACAACTGAGGAAGAAAAAAATACTGTGAATACATTTAAGGTAAATATTTATGTTTCTTATTAAATGTGTAAATTGTCATTGAAGTGTGAGAGACTTCGAGCTAGGACTTTACCTCTTCCTCCCCTCTCTCCTCTCACTCGCTCATCAAACAGGCCGTTGCCAAAACAGTAGTTGTTGAAACCATTGTAGCTGTCAAAGTCACTGTAACCTGGACACAGACAACCATGAATCAATTGAAGCAGGTCTCGTTCTCTTACATCACAGATGACAGAACAAGCCAACTGGATAATAAACTAGTTTTCTGCTGGTTTAGAAAAAGGACATAATGACATTTGGTGGACATGTGTAGTTATGATGTCCGAGTGACCTTGACAAATTTGGTGGCATTTGGCCAATAGCTGGCGCTGTAGCAGCATCATCTAAATATAAATCCTCCTCTGTCTGTGTGAAACTTCACACATCTCAAGAACAGCCCATCCGATCTACGTCACACTCGGCGGGTGTATTGCTGGGGACTCAAGGACGCGCAGCCTCGAAGTGGGTGCGATTTGGACTTGTGACACATTCAACATTAGTAAACTTAGAATTAACAATACTGTGCTCAGTTAGCAGCGGGGGCAAGGCTTCAGGGCTCTGTGGACTGACTCAAGCATGCTGACTGCAGGGGGCCTTTACAGGCCATGGATCTGCAGAAAAACCAATGTTTCATCTGAACTCTTCTTCACTTCCCTGAGGTCAACGAGCAATTCTCGACACTCACAAATATTGCTTTACTGCTCAGAGTCCTATATTGAACCAAAAACACAGGCTTCTGCATGATTAAATTGTTTTGTTCTACTAGCACGGACCGATATACCTTTTCTAAACACAAATATACCTGTATGCATACATACAGAACCCTGCTTACCTCCTCCATAGCCCCCTCCACTCCTCATGGTGTCCAGTAGAGCCCCGTCGCGGCCAGGCCCGGGCCCATAAAACCCTCCCCTGTGTCCCCCCATCATGGGTCTATCGTAGGGCCCCGGTCTCTGGCCTCCCATCCCCCGCCGGGGCAGCTCGTAGTAGGCTCTGATCTCGTTGCGACTGCTCTTAAAAATCTCTATATACCTGCAACATGAAATGCCCATGAGGTGGAGGGGGGCAGAGGAGAGGGTTAAAGAGCAGAAATGGCATAGCTCAGGTTACATACATAGATGATTTACAGAGAGAGAAGATAAACATACTAAAGACAAATATTCTAAATAGTAGTTTTAACCTGGAGCTGAGGGTCTGGATGATTGAACAACTTCAACAAAATATCATTAGCTGGGCTTATGGCTGTAGCG